AGGAGAGCTCTTGAAACTAAATAAGACCCTTCACAAAGCAGAACTGGGCTTTCTGATCATTCTATCCCAAGATGATGACAGAGTCAAAGAAAGCTGCAGCTCAGAATCCTCAGGAGGAAGAAGGGCTCCTGAGAGTGAAGGTAGAGGACGAAGGTTTTGCCTGGGAGCAGGATGCTTGCTCACAGAGAAGTGATTCTCTCAAGCAGGAGCTGTGCCGGCAACTTTTCAGGCGGTTCAGCTACCACGATGCACCTGGGCCACACCGGGCGCTGAGCCGGCTCCGCGAGCTCTGCCGGCTGTGGCTACGGCCCGAGACGCACAGCAAGGAGCAGATGCTGGAGCTGCTGGTGCTGGAGCAGTTCCTGAGCATCCTGCCCGTGGAGCTGCAGGCCCGGGTGCGGGAGCAGCACCCGGAGAGCGGGGAGGAGGCCGTGACAGTGCTGGAAGATGTGGAGAGTGGCAGCAGTGAGGCCACGTCTCAGGTACAGAGGGTATGGGCAAGCCAAGACCACGAGAGTGGATGACATCCATAGTGGGAGACGGAGGAGCTCCTAGTTCAGGGTGCATGTATGTCTCCTTTGCTCTCTGTTTGTTACTATGTCACATCTTACAGCTGAGTCCGATTTGGTTCTTCCTTCAGGAAGTTCTCTTCATTTGGGGAAGATGTTTCATTCCAGCAGGGACTCTCTCATAAGCCCAGATACACTTTATTTTTCTCAGGTTCCAGTCCCTGGACATGGACAAGAAATATTCAGGAGAAAGGTGGCACCTCCTAAACCAGCACTTACTGTCCAGCTCCAGCTAGTGGAGGCCAAGGACCTTCAGGGTTCTTCAGAACCCCCTCTCCCACTGGACTGTGGTAAGTCCATGGCACTAGAGGTGTGGGACAGATTGCCCCAGTAGCTGTAGGGGTCCTTTGTCACCCAAGGAGAAGTTGAGAACGTTTTTCCCTCTGTGGTGTTAGTCATTAGAGAGAGAGGGAGAGAATATTCTCCCTTTTCCAGAATATTTCCAGAACATGCATGTTTTTATCTATGAGTAAATTAAAGAAAACTGAAGGAGTTGAGAAAATGTCAGGATGAAAAAAGGGGAAGAAACAGCAGCAGAAACAGAAACTGTTCATAGAGAGAGGCATGTTCAGAGTACAGCTGACAGAGCAAGATCCATGCTGTGGCCTTTCCTTCTGGGCTTTCCATCTTATAGAGCTCTCTCATGTTTTTATAGGAAGTTGGCCATACTTCTGGTGACACCTCCATAGAATACTCACCACTGTTCTGAAACTCCTGTTTACAAGTTCACGGACTTGACATCATGTTAGCTGTGAGAGACACTAAAAACAAACTCAAGAATAACATACAGTAATTTTTTTAAATACCTAGATTCTGCTTTCAAGTTTGTTCTGGAAACATTTCCATCCACACTGTCTAAAAGTGGACCTTCCTCCACCCTAAGACCAGGGCTACCTAAACCCCTTCCCTACCCTAGCATCTTCGAGAGAAAGGATCCCCTGTAACAAAGGGGCTGCTTGATTCCAGCATGGTACAGAGTCACGAGCTAAAAGGGAAGAATTGTGAGGGCTAGACCATAAGTGGTTCCTGTTGTGGAGGAAAAGAGATTGAAGGTTCGTGGTGGGGTGTTAGAGGGTGACAGGGTTTCATGACAGTCTGGCAATGGTGTTCAGGATGACTAGGAAAAAAAATAGTTCAGAGGCAAAACAGCTACCTAGATAGGAAATGGTGATGTAGCAGAAATGTCAAGAAAGGGATGTATGGAGGGAATGTTTAGTAGAAAGTGCTGAGAGGACTTGGTTACTGTGGAAGAAGTGGACGGATGGATAGATGGGCGGATGTTTTCTGCTCCACATATGCATACTCGAAGCCTAACCATAGGCGTGAATCCTAGACCCAGAGTCCCCCAAGACCCCTCAGTCTCACTCATAGTTCTTTCTCCTTCCTTTCTCTTCCTCCTTGTTCTTGCTGGTGGTGATAGTCTTTCCAGTCTTTTCTGTTTCATCTGCTCATCCCTGGGAGTCTGTCTCCTCTCTCTGCTAACCGCTGTACATATGACCTGCTTGTACTGATGTTTTCTTTTGTGTCCTCCTTGCCTCTCATTTGAAAGGCCACGTTTTTAGAGTGGCTGAGTGAAGTAGCGACATTCTCCTGGGTGTATCTGAACAATTTCTTTTCTTCTAGCTCAGCAAACAGGTATTTATCTCTTTTATCATTATCATTTTAGATAATGAGAGTGAAAACAGTGGGTCTATCCCAAACCTGGACATTCATGAAAAAATGAACTCACAGAGAAGTTTATCAGGAAGACCTTCGGGATTTGCATCAGAGGAATCTCCGGAGCCTCAGGACGTCTCCAAGTCTGCAGGCCGGATAAAGTGGCAGCAGGAAAACGAACCTGGGGAGCCTCGGAGACCATTGTCTGCTCAGGATGGAGGTTTTAGCAAAATCCTCACCCACAAAAATATACTCTCAGGTGAAATACTAAGTCATGGTGGATGTGACAGAAGTGTAAACCTGAACTCAAATGAATTTACACACCAGAAATCTTGTAAACATGGTACCTATGACCAAAGTCTCAAGTGGAATTCAGGTTTTATTAAGCATCAAAGAATTTATGCTGGAGAAAAAATTCCCCAATGTGGAAAATCTCTCAAGCACCCAAATCTTACTAAACAGACCACAGTTCTCAGTGGGGAGAAAACCCATCAGTGTAGCGAGTGTGGGAAAGCTTTCAGACACAGCTCCAAGCTTACCAGACACAAGAGGATCCACACTGGAGAGAGGCCCTATGAGTGTAAGGAATGTGGGAAAGGGTTTGGGGGGGGCTCCGATCTCATTAGACACCAGAGAGTCCACTCTGGGGAGAGACCCTTTGAATGCAAAGAATGTGGGAGAGCCTTCAGCCTGAACTCACACCTCATCCTGCATCAGAGAATCCACACCAGGGAGAAACCCTATGAATGCAGCGAGTGTGGGAAAACCTTCAGAGTGAGCTCACACCTCATTCGACACCTGAGAGTCCACACTGGAGAGAAACCCTATGAGTGCAGCGAGTGCGGGAGAGCCTTCAGTCAGAGCTCACACCTCAGTCAGCATGAGAGAATTCACAAGAGGGAAAGCCTATTCACGTGAGGAACTTAACTTCATAGGGAATGCTAAGGAAATAGCAAAATGTGGAAAACACAGAATACAAAATAAATACTGGTGGGTTGAGTGACTGAACAACCAGTGTCTCTTTCCTCTCTCTGGGTCTCTGGTGCGCGGTCCTGTGTGGGGCCATGACCTCCGTGTGCTTCCTGTGAGGCTGGGCTGTCAAACCAGAAGAGCAGAGTTGGGGGAGGCGAGTAAATAGGATATCTAGCAGTGGAGAGAGAGGAAAAAGAAGGACCTTCTTGGAAAATAACCTTGATCACAGTGTGGGGGAGATTTAGGTAGAATATGGTCCTCAGCCCTAGTCAGTGGTTCTGGACAACAACACTGCTCTATAAGTGAAGACACAGAACCTGAGGGTCATGTGAAATGAGGACATAGGTGGTGATGGCTTTCCAGCACGTGGGGTGGAGTCGCATCGAGGTTGTGCCAGGAAGTACAACCAGAAGAAGAGCAGCCAAGGCAAGAGGCCAGAGTCAGAGATTCCAACAGACAGGAGGGGAGTGGAAGGAAATGAGGCAGGAGGTGGGGACAGGTGAGGAATGTGTTCAAATGGAAGTGAACCTAGATTTGGAGGATGCAGACAGAGCCCTGAAACTGGGACCTTCCTGCCCCATGTGCTGTGGATTCGTGGGCACTTTCGTGTGCTGAATGGACAGAGACTGCAGTTCTGCAGGCCTCTCAATAGCAGCGGGTTCTCTAACCACCAGTGAGTGTGGAAGGGAGTTAGTACCAAAAGTAAAGGTCCTGAAACTTTAAACCAGCCAGAAGTGCATCTACTCAAATGCCTTGTTTATCCTGTAATATCCTCATTTCATTGAAGAAAATTCTGGGTATAAAGGAATTCAGTTGTCAGCAGTTACAAGGTCATGAGGTGAAAAGCAGGATTCTCCAAACCTACAGCTGCTCACCCGGAGACACAGTTAAATCACTACCCCAAGGTGCCTGGCCTGCTGCAGACAAGAGTTATGACTCTGTCTAAAGGATTATCTCCATACGAGGGTTTGACTTTGGAAAAATTGCCATGTCAAGAGGAAAAGACCTCAAAGTGCTTGAAGTGTTTCTCATGCTCTTTCCCACAGCATCCTTTTTATTACTGAATTCTTAATGAAACTGCTTCAGTGTGTAGCCACTTGGGCAGTCTGGCTGCTTCTCAGAGTTGAACCACCTGGAACCTCTCTCACTCTCATCACATGCTGGAGTTTCTCTCCTCTGTGGATTCTCAGATGCTGGACAAGGCCAGTGCTTCTGCTAGAAGCTTTCCTGCATTCTTCACTTCAGGGGAGCGGGGGGGGGAGGTCAGGGGAGCAGCAAAATGAGGTTTTCTCACACTTATTACAGCAATTCAGTTCTCCCCAGTGTGGGTTCTTTCATGTCCAGAAAAGTGGGAATGCTGACTGTAGGCTTTCCTACAGTCGCCACAATTGGGAGACTTTTCTCCCATATGATTTCTCATGTTTTTGATAAGATTTGAATTCCAGGTGACATTTCCCCGACATTTATCACCTGTTTGTTTAAAGCTTCTCCGCAGTTGCGTGCCTTGTGCATCCCCAGTGAGTCACGTGTGCTGGTCTCACCTCAAAGGTGGCGACTTACCTGCTCCGTCACCGACTCCCTGCGTGCTCAGAAGTCCTGTGGTCAGAAGCTTGGCTTAATGCTGTTGTCCCAGTCTTGAAATTCTTAACTTTATCTTTTTTTGTTTTGTTTTTTTGGTTAATCCTGACCCAAAGATATCTGTTCCCATAGATTTTTAAAGAGAGTGGAAGGGAAGGGGGAGTTGTGGAGAGAAACATTGATGTGAGAGAGACACATTGATTGGTTGCCTCCCACATGTGCCCCGACCAGGGCAGAGATTGAACCTGCAACCCAGGTACATGCCCTTGACTGGGAATCCAGCCAGGGCTCTTAATTTTACCTTTAAACTTGTGCGTTGTACGTGAATTAAATAGGACAATGGAGCATGTGCCTGACCAGAGGGGACGTCTGTGTTTCTTGGCTCCCCCATTCATTTTGAGCATTTGTGTCCCCCAAGAGCACAAATTTCAGTGGGCCCATGAGTCGTGGGAGTTCAGTGAGGCTTGGAGTATGAAGGGGAGCAGAGGAGCCCACCCCAAAATAGGCCACTTTGGCATGTGAATTACCTTGAGCTGAAGGAAGTTGAGACCCAGCAGACTCAGGAAAAACTTTTACCTCCCCCTTTAACAGCTTAAAAGCATTTAGATAGTGGGCCTGTCCCAGAGAGAGAGTTATTAATAGAGTTAACGTTTATCTGAATGACCTGTGTGTAGGACTGGGGAACCATCTGACTACTAAACATCAGCTCTTATCTTCCTATGAATCGCCTCCTCCCCTTTGGAGCCCCTGGCCCCAATCCCATTCCTTAGCTTTGGATGGCAGACAAGCCTCAATTGCCTGACTGCCTTTGGGTCTTATACTTTAGGGTGTTTCTGTATGTACAAAATTAAAATTGTTTTTCTCCTGTTAATCTTTCTTATGTGAATTTGATACTAGACCAATAAAAGAACCGAGAAGGGAAATTTTTCCACCTCTACACATACAAGGTAAGCATGTTAGGTCTGAGTCAGTCAAGTGCTGACAGCCAGGTGAGACCATACTTTCTTCTGCAATCAGGACTTGCTTATATATCAGAAAGATGGCAAACGGCGACGTCTGAGAAACAGGAACAACCAAGGAGCCCTACAGTATTCTTCCTTATTTGTGTTACTTCCCTGTGTTACTCGACCACTTACAGAAAATGGCAACACAGAAGGAAAGGGAAGGAGAGCAACCCTCTGTCCCCTTTACTGTCAGTCTTTGCTCATCAGGTAGAATGTGTGTCTGTCAAGAGTGGCAGGTCAGTTTCTACAGTGTCTCCACTGAGTATACGGGGTGGGCAGAATTAGGTTGGGATGTGTGCAGGAGGCAGCCAATCAATGTTTCTCTTTTTTCCCCTTTCTCTCTCTCCCTCTCTCTAAAAAATCAATAAGAACATTAAAAAAAAAGTCTGGTGCCCATTTTTTAAAAAAATGTATTTTAATTAGTAAAATACACAAATTCAGGTGTGCAGCTCATTTAATTTTTACATACATATGCAACCATGTAACCAGAACACCCATTAAAGGTAAACACTTTTGTCTTCTGTCATTGCAGATTAATTTTACTTGTTTTTGAACATGTTCATATAATGCTATGTAATATTTTTGATATTCATGAACGCTGTTCATCTATCAGTAGCTCCATTTTATTTCTGGATAGTATCCCACTGTGTGAACATAACACTGTTGCTGACCGTTTGGGTTTGTCCAATTTGCTCCTGTCATGAATGAAGCTGCTCTGGACTTGGTTTTCATATCTCTTAGGTAAATACCTAGGAGTGAGAGCTGGTCATAAAGTAGGTATTCTTTAACTTCATTAAAAACTGCCATTTTTATAAACTTCTTGTACCATTTTCACTGCCACTAGTGTATGGTTCCAGTTGCTTCCTATCTTCCTCATTTGATATTGTCAGTCATTTTAACGTTAGCCATTCTGACGCATTGTAGGCTGTTTTATATTTCCCTAATGAGTAATGCTGTTGAATATTCATATATATATTCTCTTGTAAAGTGTGTAATAAAATCTTTGCCCGTTAATGTTGGTTTGTCTTATGACTGAGTTGTAAGAGTTCTTTATATATTCTGAATTCCAGTTGTCAGAAATATACATTGCCAGTGTTTTCCACTCTGTTGCTTCTTTACACTTTCTTTTTGAGCATGTAAAATATGTTTATTCTTTAAAAGGGTTCAGGGTTTGGTTTTAAATCAGGCTGCACACCTTTCATCAGCCTGGCATCTCTCTCACCATGTCAGACTGGCTTTAGCTAGCAATACTTCATTAAATCCAAAAGATAAAAAAACTCAATTTTGAAGAAGAAAATCCAGATCTGAAAAAAATTACCATTAGTCTGCAATTTAAAACAAAGTGAGGACTAATGTTTCATGTTGCTTTACACACCCTTCTCATACAGAACCAGGAATGTAATTTTCCTAACTTGGGCAGGCACTGATACTGGTGGACACTGCACGCGGCACACACGCATTTCTATGTCTCTCCCTGCAAACAACAAAAATCAGAGCATGTCAAAGGAAGATTTGTTACGGCCTTGATCAAAACCCTTGGAGTCAATAGTCTCTCTGAGCTTAGAGAATATTCTGTTTTGATCTTGAGCCTACGTTAAAAGGATATATTGTCATGGTCTGAAATAAAGAATTTTGGGTAGTACTATCATTTTCTACTTTAAAATCCAAAAAGCATTATTTTGTTTTGTTTTCTGGGATGGGGGAGGAGAGAATCTACAGATTTTCATTTAAAGAGCAAAACAACTCTGGCATAGGAGATAGGTAGTCACCTAGCCAGCCAATGTCTGAGGCATCACCAGTGACAAGGTCTCGGTCCATTCCTACTGGCCTAGCTGATCCTAACAAAATGGGATGTTTATGGCTCTGCACAGCACATTCCGGCAGATGACCCTAAACCTTTATCCAAATTCTTAGAAACCCCCGGCGGCCCGCAGAGCCCGGAGCCTGACTGCGTGTCGGCGCGAGCGAGAGGAGTTACAGGTGCAGACACTTTCCACTTTTATTTGCTTGATGCTTCATCTTTTTACTGGAGTCATTAAAAGAAATACGCTTGCAATAAATAAATTAAAAAGCCACTATTTCTGAGGCCAGTCTCGCGTCCGGCGCACGG